AGATTTAGAAAAGATTTATTAAAAGTATATTTTAGAAAGACAAAGCATACTCCAAAGAAGCACATGGTCCCAGTGAAGAGCTGAAACAGAGCACTATAAACACAATAACCAACACAAAGGGACCACAAAAAGGCCACAAAGGGGCAAAAAGGGCAAAAAGGAACCAGAAATAAGAATGTCTGCATTTTATCTGGGCCCTGATGGCTGGTTCCAAAGTCATGCCTAGATGAATGGAAGTGAGGTCATTTTGATTGATACTTGGCTGCTATATAACTCTTTGTCTAGTGCTCATGAGCATACCTAGAATTCTACTACCATTGGAGTGTTGTTTGGGAGGTCTCTAGGCTGGGCCCCTATTCATTTTTCTTTCTATTGCTCATGTCTGACTAGCTACCTAACAGAATCAAAAGTTTTATTTAGACAGCAAGTTTTTCTAATGAGTTTGCCTAGCACTCAGCTGACAAATTTACATGATTCCAGGGCGTTGTTCTTAAATAACTTCTTAAGGCTGACTTTCCCAGTCAGGGAGGAAAAGAATGACTAGAAAAAAGACTGAGAAAACTGACTTAGATAAAGGCTCACAACAAATATTAAGATTAATAATAAAAAAAAGAAATTTTAAATAATTGAAATCAAAGTAGAGATGTGGCTGAAAGAAATGTTACAAATGGAAACATGGAAAAACATGTTAAAATTTAAAATAATTATGATTTCAATTTAATTTAGTAAACACATTTTAAACACTTAAGGATTATAAATCTTGCAAGAGGTCATACAATAATGAGTGAGAGTCCTTTCCTTCTAGAAATTTAGTTGTAGAGGAGGAAAAATAGCTTTTCCTCTGCCTTTCTGGGTTCTTGGCTGAGATCCCTCTGTAACAAAAAGATTAATAGGAGAAAATAAAATAGAAAGTTTAATACCGTGTGTATCTCCTGTTTACATGAGAGATACCCAGGAAAACTGAGTAACTCTCCTAAATGGCTCAAGCCTCCACCTTAAGTACCATCTCCAGCTAAAGACAAAAGAAGATGTTGAGGGGATGGGGGAAGCCAGTTATAGAAGGTTACTAAGAAAAGGACAGTAAACAGGGGTGTGATTATTAGGCAGATTTTCATCCTCCCCTTCTCCATTGATAAGTGTTTCTAAAGATCTAGTCATTCTTCTCTTCCAAGTACAAAGAGGGGCATCCTTAGGAATGGAGATTTCCTTATTGATGTAAATGTTTCTTTTAAAAAGATAACTTCTCTTTGGTTTTCAGAGGGTTTCCTGTGTTTGCTGTTTCTTAAAAATAACCAGCTCAAGATAATCAATATGACAAAGAGGCATATTTGGAGATGGCAAGTTGTTTTCCTTCACAGATTACCACAAGCGAATGAGCATTTAGCAGAAACTGGGAATAACAGAAGTAAATGAGACTACTTCAGAATTCAAACTTAGAAAGTTTACTTTTATTAGGCCATATAATACGATTTTTTAAAAAATGAGAGAGAACGTCAGAAAATAAGAGACGGGGAAGTCAAAGGGAAGACCGAGGACAGATTCCAGATAGTAGAAACACAATAGGTTCAGTGTTAGGTATTAAATTTTAAAAAGGTTGGAGAGTCCAGGTATCTGTTAATGGATTGTCACAACTGGGGTGATGTGAAATCCAATGTCGCCCCAGTGGCATGGGGGAGGAGAAGGAGGAGGACGGTGGCATTTTGTGTTGTCCTTTGTTTCTTCTCCTCCAATGCAGCAAAGAATTACAGGTCATTGAGATTTAGAAAAAGTAAAATGTATTGAAAGTACATTTTAGAAGGAGATGAGCCACACTAAAGAAGGCTGTAGCCCTGTGGAAATTAGGAGGTGAAGAGATAAGATAGTACGTCTCAAAGAGTGGAGCAGGTTTCCAGTAACAATACAGAGATGGGAAGATCTGTTTATATTTGGGCCTTGATGGGAAGGCCTACATGATCCATCTGTGAGGTCGCCTTGATTGACAGTTGGCTGCTATATAATGCTTTGCCTATCACGCATGTGCTTATCCAGAATTCGGTCTGTTATAATTAGATTCATGAACTTCCAGGCATAGTCATGAGATTAAAATGATGGTATAATGGGGCAAAAGTTATAGGTATAGTTTCTGCACATGCATCTGTAGCTGGTTTAGCCAGCAGCTTGTATAGACTTTGTGCTCTAGGATTTGGGGTAATTTATGACCCTAAAAGGGAGGTGTTTCTGGGAGGTCCTTAAGGAAGGTCTTCAAGGAAAGTTTCTGTAGTTACAAAGCTGGGCCATGGCTCCTGTTGCTCACGCCTGACTACCTACCAGAGTGACGAAGCCTATGAAGGTAAAGGGAGAAATGTGGAACTAAAGAACCACTATTCATCAAGTAGGTTTTGAGCTCTGCCATCTCCAAATTGAAGAAATCACTGACCAGTCCTTCTAATTGTCAGTACTTTAGGTATCTCTGTTGATTATTTTAAGTCATTAACTATTAACTGTCTTAATTAAGTCACAGTAGGAGCTCAGAAATCTATATACAGTAGAGATCTTGCAATCTACAATTAACCAGATAAATCTATTTTGATAGATAAATAGGTAAAACCTAGATTAGCTACTCCGTGGTGACCTCAGACTGGATGGCCAACACATGAAGATTTTTAAAAGATAATGTTCATACTCTTTATTAGTTATTTCAAGAACTAAGTAAAAGTTAGAAGGATTTTAGCCATAAAGACTTTAGAGTAAAAATAGTCCATGAATCATAGGAAAGTCCTAAAATCCTGCATTAAAGGCATCATTTGGGTACTTCTTAAAATACTTTTTAAAGGCAAGTATTCACATCTAATCTACCCTCTTAAAACAAATTGTTTAATTTTTTTTTTCTCTATAGCTTGAAGGCATTGGGTCTAAAACGAAAAGAAATAACAGATTTTTAAAAATACTAATTAGAGAACAGATAAGATTTGTATATATTATAATTTTACCACAAATAATTACACATCTTTTTCCTCACAGGAAAATAGAGCATAGAATGTATTTGATTTTGAATCATTTGCGATTTCCCCCAGTTTTTTCAGATTTATCACATATTTAAAACAATACTTACATGACAGCTAATATCCAAGTGATTTCTTTAAACAAAATTCATTTTCTTCTTTATTCTACTTTTTTATGATTAATTAGGAAAAAATTTTGTCAACAATTCTTTGAGCTTCATAATAAATAACTTGAAAAAATAGGAATCACACTTCCTTTTCATTATTAGGCTATCACACATTTAAAAATATTATTAATTATATTTGCAATTCAAAAACAGACAAAACAAATTTAAATATCATGCAAAGAATATATAATTTCTTTAAAAGTAGCTTTAAAAGGATTCTCTTACAAAGGTGCTCTGAATTCTAATGTGATCAGTTAAGTGAAAATAAAGCCTTTTAAACTTCTATTGTGCCCCCTAGTGGCAGGAAAGCAAAATTTAGATGCATGTTCTTTCACATTTCTTTGACAGTTAATTTATCCTTTATACAAAACGTTCCTCAAATGAGTCAAGTTCAATATTTTTTATGTTAGTTTATAAAACAAACTAAAAGTAATAAAACATCATCTATTATTAAATTCCTGAACATTAAATTATATAAATGACTCTTTGCTAATTTAAATAATTATCACATATTTTAAATTAATCTCTTTCCTTAAATTTAGGGCAAAATGGAGAAGTTCATCTCATAGATTATATGCCATATAAATTAGCTCTCTATAGAACTCAATCCAAATCTTTTCTTGATTGTTACTATATGATTGATATTCTTTAAGAAATGAACAAATCTCAGACAATTTTATCTTTAAACAGTCACATTCCTGAAAGCATACCCCTTTCAGATCACTCTATTTATCCTGACATAGTTAATGCAAGAAAAAAGCTTCACTCCATAAGGCGTTTTTAGCAATTTTCTTTTGAGAATTTACAGAGGGAATGAGCATCATTGTAAGTTACAAAATACTTAAAGACACTGTCTTAGAAATGTGACTTCGGTGAATGATAGTTGTTTAGAATTGCCTCATTTTTGTGATTATAACAGGGAAAGAAATATAATTAAATAGTGATAACCAGTGAGAAGAGGATTGTACAATAACTATATCCTATTTATTGTACAATCAATATCAACAAGAATGACAGAAAAAGAGGAAAGTATCAGAAAACAGCAATCAGTGATACAGTGATACATTTTCCTCCTGCTAACAGATAAATAATTTATAGTTGGACTTTATAAACATAAAATTGTTTTCCTAAGAAATATAATCGAAAGTAAGCATATGTATATCATTCCCCGAGTTACTTAAAATAAAAGCCTTTTAATTTTTTAGAAAATAATGCCCTATGACTTAGTGCTTGTTAGTATTTTTAATTGACTTTTTCTCTTTATATAATTTATTTTGCTTAACTCCAATATTATAACTGATTATCTGATTATCTTTCACTTCCTTCTTTAAGCATATATTATCTAAAACCTATATTACTCTCGAAACCACAACATATTTACTCAAAAGTGCGTTATCAGAAAAGAATCCTAACTCTTTAAGAACTTCCAAACCTAAAGAATCACTGATTTCATACATTCATCCTGAAGATGTTGCTTACATTGGAAATAATAGATCTCATTCTTTACAAAATCAGAATGACAACTTCTTAGAGCCAGGGAATGAGAGGAAATAGAGAACGGTACTGGAAGTTCTTGTCCTGGATGCTCTCTATGGAATTGCTTTTGAATTACTCCTTCTGTGAGTCAGAAGTCTGGAGTAGCAGCGACAATTAGAGAGGATGTCACTTTCAGTCGTGCTTCAGAAGTGTAAGAGGAGAGAGAGGGACAAAGGAAAAGGGGAGGAGAAAGTGGGGAAAGGTGGGGTGGGATGGGGATGAAGGGAAGGCACATCCTGAAAAGATAATCCCTGTAGTCTCATGACATCATCCTCCTGCCTATATATATATAGGGAATGGCCAAAGCATCTCTCACAGTTCAGTCACTTTCCAAGTCAGCTGAAGGCAAGAGGAAGCACTAGAGAGAGCCCTTACTTCAGTGGGTCTCTGAGGTTTATAGACTTGGCTTGCTAGAAATCTCAAGGAGATGATGGCAGGAATGAAAATCCAGCTGGCATGCATGATACTCCTGGCTTTCAGCTCCTGGAGTCTGTGCTCAGGTAAGCTCAGTTGCATTTCACAACTCCTTGAAGTGATTTCTTTTTCCCTTTTTTGCAGTTTGTTGCTTCTTATGTTAATGTATCCAAAGAGAAGAGTTTCTCCCTTATTCTGGATTTGTTTTTTGTTTTTTGTTTTTTTTTTGTGATAGAAGCTGAATATTTCCTTTCTCTGTCTTTATGATTATAAGAACTGAACACTTTCTTTTCTGTTTTTAAATCTGCAAGGCAATAAAAGGGATTTCAATGAAATACTTTATGCCCTTCTTTTGAATGTAACTACCAGAAGGGGAAAACAAAAAGCAAACAAAAAACCTGAAACTAAATGAGGCTGGTTACTATTTAATAATAAGTACAGAGATGGTGCTTTGTCAAAGTGCAAACTCGTAATTAAAGCCCATTTCATTCAAAATGCTCTATCTCGTTCTCAGTCATTCTCTTAGAAGGCAGTGGCTTCTCTAACTTCCAAATTATTTTTCTTAACTCTGACTCTGTGTGTGTGGTAAGATAGCAATATGAAAATCGATGATTAATGAATAAATGAATAAAGTATTATTTGTAGAAAATTATTTCTAGAAAAATACAAAAATATTCCAAGTCCTTTTGGTGAATACATTTTATAGTTTTTCTATGTGACAAATGGACATCCTATTAATTTAATTATTTTATTTTTTTACATGTTGTTTAAGCAGATACAAAATGTATTTGGCAAATTGGTGTACCTATATTAAGGAAAATTATTTACCTGCAGGATGTTTTGCATATAATATAATTACTAAATATCTATCAATAATTCATCTTGAAAATAAGATTTAAATTTAGAAGAGTGACATGAAATATAATGATTACAGTATACTTCAGTAATGTTAAAAAAAACTACATCAAAATTAAAAGAAAAACAAGAAATAAATGTAGGAAAAATTATTTAACCTGTTTTATACATTTTTATCTTATAAAAATGACATTGAAATGTTTAATTCAAACTCCTGCTATGATTTCATTTAAATTATAAAATTAAATCTATCAAAAAATATAAATGTAATTTAGAAAAAAATTTAATTTCTTTTGATCTTCAAAAAAATACTTGGAACTTCTAACTTTGTAATTTTTTATGAGATAAATATTAATTTTTTTTACAGTTATGATTTTATCTAATAGTTACATGAGGTTAGAAGTGTACTTAGAGCATGTGAGAAAAACTAGGTTATTGATGAAATATTTTGTTTATTAAATCTTGAAACTTCTTGCTGTAATAAGCCAAATTTTATGGGAATTTTGGTATACATTTTTTTATAAATGGCTAAAGGAATTAATAACTCCTTTTGAAAAACAGATTTGGCCCCTAAAAATAGGAGGAAAAAAAAGATCTCTGGTGTAATTTAGTTCTTAATTTAATTTCTCCAAGTGTGACAAAACTTCTTAATAATAGTGTAGAGTGCAAGGAAGATAGAATAATTTTAACTTCTGCTTTATGACTTATAGATCAGTGAGTTTGATTTAAGTCATCTTATTACAGTGTCCTATAACTTTATTTTTATTACCTTATAATAGTTCCTAATTTTTCTTCTCTGTAGAGTATTCATTAGTGGAAACTGGAAAGGATATTTAAAAAATATCAGAAATCCATTTTTAACTCTGTTGTAGATGTATTGATGGATAGCTTCCCTTCTGCTTAAACAATTTCCTTAATAGACTGTGATAAGATTGCTAAGTATACATAATTCTAAATTCTCGTTTAAATTAAAAAAAAAATCTTTCAAAATGTGTTTTGTAAAATAGCATCTCAAGTTAAATTTGAATGTCTTTCTTGTTTTAAAATTATCAGTAAGCAATGGTTTTTAGTATTTTTGTTATTGTCTTAAAAAGTCTTTTATGCACACTTTTTCATTATGTTGTGTTTTTAAATATTAATATGCATGTAGTCTATATATGTAAATTATTGTTGGTGAAATTAACCAGCATATTTCATGACATTTCTATTATAAGATATAATCTTTTTTTTTTTTTTTAATTCTGAGATTTAGAGATTAAACAACTCTAATCATCAATAGCCCTCTTGGCATATAATCAGGTGCTTATTTTCTTAGAAGAGCTTCTGTTATCCTAGCTGTCTGTTAGCCTAAAACAAACAAACAAACAAAAAATATATACATATACTTTTTTCTGATTAATATTTTAAGTTGAATAAAAACAGAAGAAAGACAATAAACCTCTAAGACTAATTTTTTGAGATTAATCTAAAATCTATAGGTTACAATATAATTATATGATATGTGATTATATAGTAAACATGTGGTTTTAATTTTACTCAGATTCAGAAGAGGAAATGAAAGCACTGGAAGCAGATTTATTGACCAATATGCATACATCAAAGGTAACTTTCTTTTCTTTAACCAAGGATTGAAAAACAGTCGAAGATTGAACTCTCATTATAAACATGATGTCCTATTCCTATAGTAATAACTTCCCATCGAGACAGAAAAGTTCATTGGGAGGCACTTCCTTTCTCTGAAACTTTTCTTTGAGTTCAAAAGAGTTAAGGGTGTTGATGTGACAGGAAAAGAAATTATAGTGACTCTTAATCAATATATTGTAACTTTAATTAAATAGTCACATATTATTTATGTGGACATGTACATATATTTAAAAGAACCCCATTTCCATTCCTGTCACATTGTGTATGATGAAAGGTATATTGACCTCAAGTTAAATACATATATGAAAATTAAGTGATATTTTTGCTTTTTTAATTATAGTGAAGAAAGTAAAATGAAATTCTTAAATTAAAAATGAAAGTTCATGACAATTCATGAATAAATGTAGTAGACTAGCAAACAGAAGCTTTGAGATCTAATCCAGCAGCTGTAACTTAAGAACTTTTGTTCTTAAGCAAGCAGGCAATTGACATTGTTTGCCTTCATTTCCTTATTTTTAAATTCTGGGGTTGGAGTTCATAATCTCTTAGATATTTACATTAAATCCATACTTAGATTTAAATTCTTCCTATAACAGAAGTATTATCTGTCCTTGCTCATTGTTTTTATTGAATCAAGTAAAACTTGATATATCGAACCTTATTATTCCTCTCTTTGGGTTTTGAAAGCAAGAAACAGGTTAGATCCCAACCTGTACCTAAGGGCAAAAAATTAAATTAGGATATACTTGATTACCATGCTACCACACAATATTGATTTACCCCGAATGAATCAATCAGTGTGCATCTAAATGTAGAGTTAGAGAATAGGGTTCCCAATCAAAAGATATTTCTCAAAGAAAAAAACAAGTTTTGAGATGAGGCAGTCACCTGGTGCAATCACTGTTACAACACTGGGAGACTGAAGCTGAAGACTCAACAGATGTTATGGTAAGAAAGTAAGTTCTCCAAACTCCTGGCTAATTTCTGTAGCAATGCTCCTAATCAAGTCTCATCGTGTCAGGTTTCTCTTTCCTAATTGTTTAAGGTACAACTATCTTCACTATATAAGTAGAATTATGTTTGCTAGTATTCTGGTATAGCTTTATTAAGAAACAAAACTTTGTACTGCATGTTTTCTTCAGAGTCTCAAAAAAAAAAAAAAACTGCTGGAATGTTGTAATTTTCTGTGATCAAACTCAATGCCTTATATATGATAAGTGTTTAATAAATATTAATGAACTAACTAATTTATGAACTAATGGAAATCCAGGATTCACTACTAACCCTCACCTTTGGTGGTGAGTATTAGTCATATCGATCAGGTCCATTTAATGAAGAAAACAGAAATTTGACCAGGATCTTATTCAGTATTAGGAAGTTAAATCAAATAATGGTGAGTAGGCTATCTCTGTGTCCCAGTATGTTATCAATCCTTGAGAATGTTCCTTGTGCACTAGAGAAGAATGTATAAGCAGCTGTTTTGGGATGGAAGGCTCTGTATATGTCAATAATATCCAATTGGTCTAATGTGTCATTTAAGGTTGTTGTTTCCTTATTGATTTCCTGTTTGGATGATCCGTCCATATTCAACATTGGGGTATTTAGGTCCCTTACTATGATAGTGTTTTGGTCTGTTTCTCCCTTTAGTTCTGTTAGTAATTGCTTTATATATTTCAGGATTCCCTGAAGATGGTATGGAGGAGAAGAAAAGAGAAGTTAGATAGGATGAAAGGAGTCAAATATGTGGTGACAGAAAGAAATTTATAAGCAGTGAACAAACAATGCAATATATATATGCTTTCCTGTTGAATTGTATACCTGAAACTTACTGGATTTTGTTAACCAATGTCACCATAATAAAAAGAAATAAAATAATAATAAAATAAAATAAAATAAAATAAAAATAATAGTAAATAGGAACCACAGATATTCTTATTGTCTTCATCTTAAAAAACAATGAGATAATATTTTAAATTTCTTATCTGTAGGCTTAGGCCTATTCTAAACATTTGTATAAAATAATTTAATAAGTAAGATTGCTTATTGTTAAAGAAAAGTTATTTGTAACGCTTGTTAAAGGTAGTAAGGAAAACTTTAATCAACAGGAGCTATCACAATGGGAGTTTTTCAGAAATTGGATTTAACTCCAAATATAACAAGGACAAGTGTGGAGCAAGGTGAGGGTCAATGGATGGGAAATTCCTAAGAGGAAACATTAAGGATAGGAAGATTTTTTAGATGACTCAATAGGATTCTCATGTTGAGAGTGGAAATTTGATCAAATATCAGATATATCTAAAGTGATCAAATACCAAGAGGGAGGCATTTTTGCTACACCGACTCAGCTGGCTTTTTGTTAAAACTGGAGTAAGTGGACCAAAGACAGAACCCAAGGTCTAGACATAGTCAAGAAGAAGGCTCAGAGGAGCCTGACTCAGATTTGGTCAAGGAGAGAGTCTGTCATTCCCCTGAGTGAAATAATTTAAAATTTATTCAAAATTTCTCAAATATATGAGCACTTAGACATCCTTTGGTCAAGAGTGCTTTCTCTGCTATGCTTCCTAGGTAGGACTGAGATTAATATGTGACATTACATAGTAGCGTTGAGTGATATAGTGCCTATTTTACATGGCAGAAGGCAACAAGGTAATTAACTTAGTTTTCTCATCCAAAAAATAATCAGACAATACTAGGCTTGTCAGATACTTTATGAATAAAGCCTTCTGTGGTCAAATGAGTTTGGGAAACATCAGATACTATACTGGCACCAATGAAAAGTTAAAATGTGGATTTGCAAGTAAAAAGTTCTGAGAATACTTACTTACATTTAAGAAGCCTTGAAATTTTTTTTAAACTCAAGTTTTTTAATTTATTTGATAGCGGAACTCCTCTTTTAAAACCAGTAAGTACAGAACTAGTATTCTTAGGAACACACTGGAAAATACTCAATTAGAAAGCTCTTTAAAGAGCTTTTCAAATGTATTATAGTATCTCATTAATTGGCAGGATGTATGATATTGCTGCCATACAATGAAGCATGTTTCCTCTAAGTTTTCATAATAGAAAAAATTGAAACAATGGCTGAATAATCAGATCCAAGGGACCTAGTCGATAGGATCTTCAGACTGTTGAAAACATTTCAGTGACTATGTTCATACTCACAGCTTTGCCTATCCTTTGGATAAAATTTAAATCAAAGGGAATGTACATTTTACAATTTTAATACATATTGCCAAAACACCCTTTAAGAAATTACACTGATCTACATCCAGAGCAACGAACATTTAGGAAGGTGTGTGAGTCTCATGTCCCCAAGAGTACACCACTGAGAGTACTTGTATTTTTAAAAGTCTTCCAATCTAATGGTAGCCAAGCTGAACATCATTCTACATGTTTCTTTTACATAGTTCTCCTTTGATGAGAGATTCCATGACTTTTCTGCTCTTATTACTTATTTTTTATTCATAAAATATAAGATTAAAATGCAATATTTATTTATTTATTTTTATATTTCAGATCAGTAAGGCAAGGGTTCCATCTTGGAAAATGACCCTGCTAAATATTTGCAGTCTGATAAATAACCTCAACAGCCAAGCTGAGGAAACAGAGGAGTTTCGTGAAGAGGACCTTATTACAAGAAGGAAATTCCCCACTGCTTTAGATGGCTTTAGCTTGGAAGCAATGTTGACAGTATACCAGATCCGAAATATCTGTCACAGCAGGGCCTTTCAACACTGGGAGGTAAAACAAAAAGAAAATATGAGTATAATTATGGTTAGCTCTCATTTGTACTGAATTTTTTAGCCTGATCATTATCATAACAGGAAGACTTACAATATTAAAGAAGAAGAAACCATGTGTTGAGATTAACATTCCTTCAGATCTTCAAAGTGTCCTTCAAATATTTGGAGTTTAGCAAAATATTTTTTCTTCAATCTTAAAAGGGGGATATATCTTAAGAGGCAGATTTGATCCACATGCTTTTATTATGCTTAAATAGATGGCATGCTTAGGCAATTTTTGGTGGTAGTGGTAGTAGCATGCCTAAGAAATTTAGAGAATTCAAATGTCTTCTTAAAAAAACAGTTATGTGTGTTTATAAACAAACACAAAATACTAAAGGTTCCATTTGTATTTAAAATAGTAGGCAAATAAAACCAGAATAATAGGAATCTCTCTCTCTCTCTCTCTCTCTCTCTCTCTCTCTCTCCCTCCCTCCCTCCCTCCCTCCCTCTCTCTCTCTCTCTCCCTCTCTCTCTCTCTCT